GTCAGGTGAGGGGGCGCCCGAACCAAGGTCAGCGGGCATGGGGCGGGATCGGGGCCGTCCACTACACGCACTGAGGACGTGTGACCTGGCGGGACCACGCCCTGCCCTGAGTCGCCCAGAACAGACCCGTGCTCTGGGGACGCAGGCGAAGCCTTGGGGTACCTAGGTGCCTGGCTCGGTTTTCATTCTGCGCCCGATGGGGTCGCAGGGCTTCACCCCAACCCCCAACCCTCACCCCGCGCAGATGGGCGCCCTGGAGGCAGTGTCAGCCATCTCGAAGCCTATGCGTGACGCTGGGGATTAGGGTTTGTCCGCCGAGTAAAAGGATTTGTGTGCGGGCCTCCCAGGCTCTTCCCGCCTGGGCCCTCATCCTTGCCCAGCTGGCCCTGTGACATGGATCCGCATCTAGGGGTGCCTGTATGAGCAGCAGCGCCCTGAATCCCGAGGAGGAAGCTAAGAACCTTCTCTACTGGAGAGGCCTTGCTCCTGGAAGATGGGTGTGGGCAAGCCCTTTCGCTCAGAGATGAGTGCCAGGGGCCAAGAGAAATCCCCTGGCTTCTTGGGGCTCGCAAACGGCCTGCGACACCAAGGAGCTGCCTCTGCCTGGGCCAAAGCTACTCCATTAAAACTTTTGCTGTGCCTACTACATCTCTAGTGACTTTAAATAATCACTTTAAGGCAAGATTTAAACAACCATTAAGGCCACCTAGTTCCTTTCTACAAGACTCACTCTTGATAGTGGAAAACCTGGTGAACGGGGGGTGCTCAGAGCAGGTACCACTTGAGGTGGAGCCTGAGGCTGGGTGACAGCCAACCCTCTGCCCTGCCACCCTGGTTGGTTTCTCAGCCCAAGTCCCCACCTTTAAAATTGGACTCCTTGTGCCTGGAACTAGATCCAGACCTTCCCGTCTCTCTAGGATCACAGCTGCATGTGCATAAATCCACAACACACTACATTCCTTCAGTCCAGAAAGTCACTGTTGAAACTATACTAGAAACCCAGTTGGTGGCCCAACCATTCCAGGGCCCCACTGTCCCCCAAAAGAGGCATCTTTTGGGGAGCCAGCATGGAGAACACAGGTCCATAGCTTGGGAAATGTTCTTCCCTATCATTTGCTTCATCATCCTACTTTCTAACAAGTGCCCAGAGAACAAACCCTCATTCCAGTAAGCTGTTCCACCCACCCACCCCACTCCCAGGGCAGAAACAGGGGCAGGACAAAGGAGGGCCTGGGTTTTTCTGTGGCTCTTGACTCAGACTCTAAGACCAGTTCTGCCCTGCCTTCCATCAAGTGACCTTATCCAGGGGGTACAAAAGGGACCCCTGCTCTGGGCCTTAGAAGATCTCATGCCAGTCCCCGGAGAGCAGAGTCCAATGTACAAGGGGTGCTATTTGCGCATCCCCCTCTGGCCCAGGCTTGGGAACAGCCCTGGACTTCACCACCGAAATGCTCCCAAGCCTGTATCACCATACGTGACACCAGCCTCAGTCTCTTGCAATGTAGGTCCAGAGTGGCTAGTTGGGAGGGTGTAGAGGGCGGTGCTACCTAGACAGACATGCACATGGCTGGGCAGGAAGCCTCCGTGCCAGGCAGAGATGGAATGAGGAGAGAAGGGGACAGGGTGGGCTGTCCCCATGTGGCCTGTGTGCAAGACAGAGGACATCAGAAATTCAAAACTGGAACCTCATGTCCCAAATCCTTGACTGTTTTCGTTAAGAAAACGTTTTATCAGTTTCATAAATTGATTTATAACTTTTCAAACATTAGACATGGTGTGAGCTTCCATCCATGCTCTTCGCTGACTCTCAAGTGTTAGGGCAAGGCCTTGCCAAACTGTTTCAGGAAGTGCTTCCCATCTGGGGCCCCATTGTAGCAAAGTTGGTGAAGAGGTTGGCCTCGGGAGATGGCCTCCGGGACCCCGGCACTGCTGCTGCTGTCGCTGCTCGCTCTGCCCAGTCTCCCGCCCGGATCCACCAGCTGCCCGGCTGCCTGCCGCTGCTACAGCACCACAGTGGAGTGTGGGGCCCTGGGGCTGCACGTTGTCCCACCAGGAATCCCGCCTGGAACACAGGTGGGAACTGTGTGGGGCTGCGGGTGAGGAGGGAAGGGTGTGTGAGCATCCCGGTGGGTAGATGGGAACCTTAGTTGGAGAAACACTCCCTCAGTGGGGTAAACACTGCCTGCCCTCCCTCTGGCCTGCAGACGCTGTTCCTGCAGGATAACAGCATCTCATGCCTGGAGCTGGGCATCCTGGCGCCCCTTGCAGCCCTTCACAGTCTCTACCTGCACAACAACAGCCTTCGCACCCTGGAGCCAGGCACCTTTCACTCGCAGTCGCGCCTGCTGGAGCTCGCACTCACAGGCAACCAGTTGCGAGGCCTGCGCCTGGGGGCTTTTGCAGGCCTGGCTCAGCTGCGCATACTCTACCTGGCTGGTAACCAGCTGATGCAACTGCTGGATTTCACCTTCCTGCATCTGCCGGTGAGGGGTGCGGGGAAAAGGGCAGGGATCCTCCTGTACTGTCAGCTGCTGAGGGGCTGGAGTTGTGAAGGGGACAAAAGTCAACCAGCCTAGCCTGGTAAGGAACATATCTCCTAGGGCCCCTTTCCCTGATGATCTGCTGTCCTTGCTTCAGCGACTGCAGGAGCTGCACCTGCAGGAAAACAGCATTAAGCTGCTGGAGGACCAGGCCCTGGCCGGGCTCTCCTCACTGGCACTGCTGGACCTCAGTAGGAACCAGCTGGGCACCATCAGCCATGAGACCCTGCAGCCCCTGGCCAGCCTGCAGGTCCTACGCCTCACAGGTACCTCTTCTGGAGCAAGGGGTCTCAAGCAAAGATATCAAGCCACAGTGCTGGCATTAGGGAGTAGGCCCAGTTATTTAGGACAACCCAATGGCAGTGGCTCAAGAGCTGTACACCCCCAGGGCAGCTCTGAAGGGCCACACCACTACCAGCAACCACAGCAGAATGCTGCCAGGAATGGGGGTGTTGGTAGGGGCACAGCTCAGAGAATTTCTGTAAGGAAGACAGAAAAGGTACAAGTCTCTAAACAGAGTAGACACAGTTGAGGGGCTTGCACACTTTGGGGCCATCAGAGGGCAGGTAGGTAGAAACTAGAAAGATGGGGGCATTTCTAGGAGACACCACCCAAGAGACAAGGCTGACAGTATTTGCAAGGTTTTAGTGGTGGTGAGAGGTTTATGTGGACACCAGGGTTCCCCCCAAATAGTGGGACTTGGCGGGACAAGAGACTGCCTTGATATCGTGAACTGAAGGCGCCAGGGAAGAGTCGGCCCACACTCTAAGGAGCTTGGCAGGGGTGGCAGGGGTCCCTGACTCTGTGGGAGGCAGGCAGTGAAGGGGCTCCTGCTCTGGCCAGTGGAACCCCAAGGGCACAGGCTGTGGTCGCCGCTGCCCCTGGGCTACCTGCTCACCGCTGCTCTGTCCACAGAGAACCCATGGCGCTGTGACTGCGCGCTGCACTGGCTGGGAGACTGGCTCAAGGAGGCGGGGCAGAGGTTGCTCGGCTCCAGGGACAGGAAGATCGTGTGCGCAGAGCCTCCCCGCCTGGCCCTCCGGAGCCTCCTGGACGTCTCTGGCAGTAGCCTCATCTGCATCCCACCTTCTGTGCACGTTGAGCCGCTGGAGGTGACAGCCAACCTGGGTGAGAACCTGCGGGTTGCCTGCCAGGCTTCCGGCTACCCGCAGCCCCTGGTAACCTGGAGAAAGGTGGCCCAGCCTCGCGAGGGACAACCACGGGCCCAGGCCCTGCCAGAAGGCGGGGTGCCGGGCCCAGGCGGGCACGGAGCCTCCGACACGGGCAGCGGCATGCTCTTTCTCACCAACATCACCCTGGCCCACGCCGGCAAGTACGAGTGCGAGGCCTCTAACGCCGGCGGCGCCGCTCGGGTGCCCTTCCAGCTCCTGGTCAACGTGTCCCAGCAGCAGCTGCAGGGGGCGCCCCCGCCGGCGGCCGTGGGCCCCGCGCCCCTGCCCGAGGCGAGCAGCATGGCCTTCCGCGCCCTGGGGCTGGCCAC